AGGCCTGCCGTCAGCCTCAAAGCACCGACAGCAGCTCCTGAGCCAAGGCCAAGCCACCCTTCCGGCACGGCGGGCTCAAACCTCGGTGCTGCTGCTCACAGCCGACGCTCAGATGCCTTCCCGGTTCCGGGAGGTGCAGGGATCCCACACCCGGCATGACACAGCCCAGCCCAGAGGCTGTGCCGCGCTGAGCGCGTGACCGGGTGTTACTGGAGCAACATCGCCGTGGGAGGGAAGGAAGGAGGGAGCCGGGCTGTACAGAAATACAACCCACAGCAGAGCTGACTGCGACAGGAGAGAGAGGAAGAGACAGGCTGGCTGGCAAGGACAGCTCTGCTGAGCCCCAGAGAAAATGGTTTGAGTAATTATCAACGGTAAGAAAACCTCTTGTTTGAGGCAAAGAGAGCCTTGGGGGATTTCTGCACGGTAAATACCTTGCATTCTTCATGGCCTTGGCTTGCAGGGGGGAGGCTGGGGCTGGAGTGGTTTGAAACACAGCCAAGACGCCAGACATAGTAACTCTCTCTTAGGCTGTGAATCCAGTCCCCTCCATTCCGCCTGTGGCTTTGGCCACAGCCTACCAGGGGTCCAGCCCAACCGTGGCTGACGCTCCCCTGCTAGCATCCCTGGCTCACAGAATCCCGCGCTGGGCTCTCTGGGAAGGGTTTCCCAGGGTAGCTGGTGTTTTGCATCGCTGCAGAGACCTGACAACTCTGCCCTCTCTCGCCAGCCTGCCGCTATGTGGCCAGGAAGATGGGGACCTTGTGCGGCCAGCGGCACGAGGAGCCACCACCCTGCCCGGCACAGGCAGCCCCCCGCAGCCACCGTCAAAGTAAGTCCGGGGAGGGGGGGCACCCACACACCTCAGCCCTGACCACGCTGGGAATGGAGGGGCCAGGGCTTGCCTGGGCTCACAGGCTGGGGGGCACCTCCTGTTGCTGCCCGCTGCCTCCAGCAAGCTGCTGCCCTGCCCGCAGGGGCGATGCGCTGGGTCCCCATCCCTCCCTGCCCGTGCTCCAGCAACCAGGGTCTTCCTCAGAGCCAGGCGCCTTGTCTGAGGAAGAGATGCAACAGGTAGACTTTGCAAAAGTTTATTTGCTTTCCTGATTTATCTTCCCTCGCTGGGTTTTGCCTTTAAATGTGTTTTGCCTTTAAATGTCATTGCTGTGTCCCAGCCCCTGACAGAGACGAGGAGCAGATAGCAGCCTTTGGACGGGAGGACAGTGGTACTCGAGGGGTAAAATCAGAGGATGTACCCTGCTGAAGCACTGCTCCCCCACAGCGACATCAACCTGGGGGGATCTTTGTTACTACAGGCACCCTGCTAACACCAAAACGCATCACCATGCACCCCAGCAGCGAGAGGTCTCTGCCCTTGCTGCTGATCTCCCCCTGCCCCTCCTGGCCCATTTCAAACCACGCAGATTGCTGTGACTTTGAGGAACACATGTGATGCCCCCGAGAGCAGCTGCTCGTCCTGCCTGCCCCCCGATTCCACACAGCGGGTACGGCAAGGACCCTCCTGGCCCCTCATCCCTGCCCCAGCCGCGGGGGCTGCTCCCGGCGAGCTGTTCCATGCTGCTCAGGGTTAAAGCTTCCTGTCAAAGGGAAATCGCTTTTGAGCAGCAAACAGAGGAATCTCAGCATGGGAAAGATCAGCCCCACCAGTACCAGTTCCACTGGTTCGGCTGGGTCACTCCTGGGTACTCTGTGCAAACATGCCCAGCGCTGCACCCAGGCACATTCCTGGGCAGCTGCCAGGTCAGATCTTGCCCTGCTGTCTCCTGCCTCTGCCAGGAACTGTCATAGGAGACTCCCAGGGAAGACGTAGGGCTGAGCTGTTCCCTCTCTGCTGCTCCCATGTGCTGTGTGTGAAGGAGGAAAAGGGAACTGCATGCCTGGGGGAGGTCCTATGAAATCTCCAGAACATCACCTTTCCCTTAAATAATGGCTGGATCCCTAATGGGGGGAGGAGGTGGGGGAAAAGGGATGTCTCCCTGCAGTAATGCCTTAATGAAGTGCATGTGAAGGAAAAGCAGCTCACTGGTCACCTGGCCTGCACTGGGAGCCAGGACTTTGCAGAGCCCAGAGTGGGAAGAGCAGGGAGGCACTTGGGTGTATTAGTGAGGGGAATCAAACTCCCCTTTGAGCAAAGTTAAGCCCCTTCTCTGCCATTAATTGCTGGGGTTTATCTCAGTCAGGGGGCTGCCCCACTTGGCACTAGCAGAGGGTCTGGCCCTGTGCCTTCCTTCCACCGCTGTGGGTGCAGGGCTGCCCCGGTGTGAAGGGTCTGCACCTCCCTTCAGCAGGGAGCAGCCCCCAGCCCTGACCCTGCGGCACCCCGGGGAACGCTGGCCGAGGACAGGGCACCAGGAGCACACGGCTCAGCAGAGCACAGATCCGGTGGGAAATGTGGATGATCTGGAGGCACCAGCGGTGTCCAGGTCACGGTTTGGAAAGTGCAGAGCTTTAATCTGCCTCCCCCCAATCCCGCTGCAGCAAGGTGGGCTCTGCTGGGGAGCTGGCTCTGTGGCCAACCTGGCCTGACTCCCTCGCATTCACCCAACACTGCTTGCAGTTCCCATCAGGAGGTTTTCCAAGCACATTGCCAGTTCAAACCCCAGCCTTGTCCCTTCAGCAATAACCTTTCCCCTTGGCTAATCCTGAATCCCTCTCTTTTCTCCCATGCTTGTGCATTTGCAGATGTAAAGGCAGAGGTATCTGCAGACCCCCAAGCAAGACCCTCGCTTCCCAGGAACACTGACCCCATCCAAACCCAGCCCTGCAGGTCCTGAGGGTAAAAGCCCTCGTGGTCTTCCCCTGAAGGCCACGAGCTTTCTTCCCACCAGTTTCCCCAGGGAATCCATTTGCTGGGAATCCTGCAGTCCAGGGATTGGAGAATATCAGCAAATCCCTCCTGCACCTGCTCTCAACACAGAAGCACAACGATAGAAAATGTCCCAATTGGTCTCTTGTTACCAGAACGTTTTAGCTGGCAGGAAAAAAAGGATTGTCAACGCACACCATGAGATGCTCCTGGCACTTTTGTGCCGTGGAGCGCCAGGGGAAGAGCATGAGCCATTGCATCCTAGCAGCAATCGGGTTTTTATGCCGTGAAACCACATTGTGCTCCCAGTGATATTCGTATATGTTCAGGCTATTTCCACAAAGGTGAAATCAGCTTCTGAGCTGGAGTAAGGAGTCTTGGAGCTTAGGTCTGTGGAAATCCCATTATGTTTTGTACAACCTCCCTCCCCGTGCCCCATAAGCTGGCGAAGCTGTCCTTCCTGGGCAGCCAGCACCCCACCGTGATGCACAGCACCCACAGAGCAGAGGACTGCAGGGACCGCAGTCAGGTCCCCCCCCCAGCCAACGCCACACCATCACAGAGACCAATGACAGCAGAATCGCAAACCCCGCACGTGCGGGGAGGAATCTGCCCGACCCCTTCCTGTGACTGCCTAAGCAGAACCAGAAATAAAGACGGATGAAAAGAGGCTGTTTGGAGCGTAGTGGTTTTTCTCCTGGAAGGGCACTGCTGTCCCTGCAGTGTTTGAACAGGCTGACGCTTTGGACCGCGCGTTGGCAACACCGGGGCTGGCTGCTGAGGCTTGCCTTGCTGCGCAGAGAGATGGATCTTGTCTCACCATCGCTTGTGGTAAAAACAACACGGGGGGCAGAGCCATCCCACACCTCTGGGCAGAGCTGACACTACGCTCCTGGGTCTCTGGGGCTCAGCCTCTGCCACCCTGAGCGATGCTTTGCTCTTTGGTACCAAAGCTCTGGGGGAGATGTGGGTGGCAGGATGGGATGTACACAACGGAGGGATGTGCACAAACTAGTGACCTTAGTGTTAAAACCCTCCTGGCTCTGGGCAAGGAGGTGGCCCATGCTCAGCTTCGTTAAGGTTGGAGAGGCACAAGCCCTGCACGGGAGGCTGTGGGGCTCTGTGGGAGATGGGGAGACCCAGAACAGACCCACATGCCACAGCAAGGCTGGAAAACACACCCCTCAGGGCTCTGTTCTGACCATTGCCACTTCCTAGGACAGCCAACACCACCAAACCGTGTGGTTAGGCAGTCAGGTAAATGCCAGTGGATGCAGCCACTTAAATTTCACGGAATCCCTGGCTCTGGGAACAGAGGAGGGCACCAGCAGCACCCGGACCATACAGCAGTTCTCCATTCACAGGCACTCCGGAGCACACAAACTCTTGAGGGAAATTCCCATTCCCTCACGGACTCCCAGCAAGCACAGAGGTGTCCTGCTCATCACAGGCTCCTCTTACATGCTGTGTGCAAATGCAACAGGGAGGAAGAGGAAAGGGTAAACAAAAGGAATCAGTCTGTCCCAAAATGGAGCAGAAAGGGGAGTCTCAAAGAGCCATGCCCAGTGCCTTCTGTAAGGCCTAATCCCACAGACCATCAAGATGCCCACCACCCTCCTCCCGGGGCAGGCAGCCGGAGGGGCAGGCACCGAGCACTGTCCTGAGCTGGTTCTTAAATGGGAAGTTTGCCAAGGGATTGGGTGAGAGCTTGTCCCTGTCTGTCACGGGACAAAGCTCACCATCCCTGACAACAACTTGACACTAACACAACCCAGAGCAAACATCACTGCTACGCACAGATCGTCCCCAACTTCCTTGTACCAAAAAACCCCAAATACTTCACTTCAAAGGTGGGGGGCTGGCACTTGGCTCCTTGAGCCCCCCAGGTAAGAGCAGTGGGAGATTTCCCAAGGGAGCCCAGGCTGTCCCTGGATTGTTTCTGACCCCCTGAGCAGCTCCTCCACACCAGGCAGGTGGGCAGACAGAAGGTCTCAAAGGTAAGAAACTTTCTGGTGAGTGTCTTGAATGTTTTATTAGTCAGATTTCCACTTGTTCACCCAGATAAGCCCAGGATGAGCGATAACAGCCCTCTCCTCTGCCCCACAGCTTCTTCCCACTGCTGTGTATGGACCTCTTTCATTTCAGCCTGTTCCAGCCCCCTCCAGTCACCTACCCGGGAACCAGCTCGGGTGTGTGTTGAGCACGGTGGTCTCGATGAACTGGCACAGACAGGGCACGCTGCTGTGCTCCAGGTGCCCCCCTGCCATGGCCCGAGGGAGCCGGTCGGTGACCAGAAGCCGGACGTAGCAGCTGCTGAAGATCACCAGGAGCTGCTGGGCCATCACCTGGAAGGAGCACGAGAGATGTCAGAGCAGAGCATCGACCCGCGGGAAGAGTGGATGGCACACTAAATCCCATTTGTGTCCTCATTCAAGGACTGTCCTTGTCTGAAAGAAACAGGAAAGGAGCCAACGGCATATATAACCGTCCCAGATCCCCTTCTGGTCAGCAGTGCTGGCACACCGTCCCCACGGGCAGTGACACGAAGTGACTGCTCGCCAAGGGGGTGGCTGGGGAGCCGGGCTGCCTGGGGACCTGCCCGCCCTGTCACTGCCTCCTGGTGCTTGTTTTTGCCTGTAGACAGACAGAGCTTCAATCCGCAAGGATGTCACCTGCACTGAATTCACCTAGTAACAGCAAGTGGAAAACTGCAAAATAAATCACAATCATCCCTTTTGAAGCATCTTGCTGATCAGGAACGAGGACACATTTGTTGCTCAGCACGGCGCAAGTCTTTCGAGACATGCTCCGTGTAGGAAACGGAGGCTGGGCATGGCCGTGCCTCATCCCCAGCCTGGACAGGGGTGCTGGGTCCCTGCAAGGACCCCAGGAAGAGGTTGGCTTCCAAACTGGGACCCCCAGCCACCAGCAAGGAAAAGCCTAATCCATTAATTCCTCAAGGATTAAGTACTAGCGTCTCAGTAAGCATTAACTGCTCACAGTGTCAGGGCTGGGAAAGGTGTGCATGGACCTCCAGATTTCCCGGTGCTTCTACTAGTGAAAAAGGAGGTGTTCCCATGGCTGGCGGCTGCTGGGACAAGTTTTGGAGCTGAGGTGCCTGGGGAGGCAATTTGGCACCTCTGTGTCCGTCGAGGAGAGATTTTTCTCATTACCTCCGGTGGGCCCTCGGGAACGAGGCGGAGCAGCTCGTTGCATGTCACAGGCTCTTTATTTAGGTTCATGCCACTGGATAAGAGAGGGGACTCTTCACGTGAAGCCTCCTCCTCCGTCCCTGGGTCAGGACGAACCGCCACCTCCATAACCACACAGAGCTGGTCCAGGCTGTGCCGCAAGCCCGACTGGAAGAGAAGGAGATTTTGGGAGTGTCCAAAGGCAGGCAACAGGGCTGTCCTGAGGACAGCCGTCAAAGGACAAGACTTCCTCCTGCACATTTTTTCGCTCCTGGGAGTTATCATCCCAAGAGTAAAAAAAGCATTGGCCAAGAGCTGTGCCCAGCACTCGGAGCCAAGCGCCTCCACCCCGCAGCCTCCCTGCTGTCAGCTGCCTCCTGTGCTGGCAACTGCTCCCAGCATGACGGTCACAGCCTAGCACGGATAATTTTGTCCTTAAAAACTGTATCAGCCCATATGTGAAGTGGTGTGTTACTGTCCATCCCCTCATCTGCATCTGTTGGTTCATCCGGGGACATGAGCAGCCTTGAGACTTTCGGAGGGTTGTAGCCCCTCATCTCGCTCCATGGCCATGGGCAGCAAGGGCAGTCAGTGCAGAGAGCACCGTGTTTGTAGATCATACACCTGCGTGGGGGAAAACATTTTCTGAAGGCCAAGAGGAGAAAATCTGTGTACAGTTAACCTAGTACAGTGTTTACTTATTCCTCAGGCTATCCCATTTATTTTGAGAGGGCAGCTCAAGGTGTCCCTATTTCAAGTTGTGACACATGCTTTCAAATTTGCCCTTGATTCTTGAGGACTTTCCTTTATTGAAGTGTTATGATTAATTATCCAGACACGCACCTGCCACAGGGCCTAAACAAATCCCTACAGAACTGGGCACCAACAGATGCAGTTTATCCATCTCCCATTCTGTCCAGCTCCCAGTTCACTGCCAGGGATGCCCAGGAGGACAAACACCTCCATGCCACCAAAGCTGGGGCGTAGGGGTGTCCCTGCAGGAGCTCGGGCTGTGCCCACCACCACTTACCTCTCGTGTCCTTTGCAGGTCCGCGATGTGGGCTGACAAGTACTGGAGGCAGCGCTCGGGGTTGAAGCGTACGAACCACAGCTGGGACGGGCAGGGTTAAGGAAGGGATCTTCCCATGCTCCCCTCTCTGCAGCCCTGCCCCTCCTGGTACATCCACCATGGTATATCCATCGCGACTGTGGCGCAGACCCAGCAGGAAGGGGAGCAAAGGCAGCTGGTGCCCACGCGATGCTCAGGATGCAGTCGGGAATAACACATGGCAGGGCTAGTTTAAGCCAAGAGGGTCTGGGCTGAAGCTAATGGGGAAGAGAAGAGGGGCAGCTGGGATGAGGGACATTGCCCGAGGGCAGCCAGTCCTCCTTGCACACCTCCCACCCCCTGGCTGGGTGACAACTGGAATAACCCAGGGCCATTGCCCACCACATCTCAGTGGCCTTGCATCTAAATAAACTGGTGGGTCACCTTGACTTACCTCCCCTAAAGTCCTTCCTGCTTTCTTTCCTTTATCTCTAGGGATTCATTCCATCCATTTTTTTTTTTTTTTCTTTTTTTTACAGACTTTACTGTACTTGGTGCTTGCCTGCAGGATGGAGGCACTTTTTGCAAAGAATCTACCAAGAGCAGCGTGTTGGGGATGTCAGCCCTGCCAGCCTTGCGAGCAGCAGCCCCCCAGAAGGCAGAAAGGTCTGCCCTTGTGTATCTACTCAAGCTGCCATCATCAAGGGGATTCAGGAATAGCTGAAAGATAGAGGGATAATCATAGAATCATAGAATCACTAGGTTGGAAAAGACCTTAGAGATCATCCAGTCCAACCGTATCTGTCCGCCACTAAACCATATCTCTCAGCACTTCATCCACCCGTCTCTTAAACACATCCAGGGACGGTGACTCCACCACCGCCCTGGGCAGCCTGTTCCAGTGTGTGATAACCCTTTCGGTGAAGAACTTCTTCCTTACATCCAATCTAAACCTCCCCTGGCGCAGCTTGAGTCCATTCCCCCTCGTCCGATCATCTGTCATTAGGGAGAAGAGACCAACACCCACTTCTCCACAACCTCCTTTCAGGGAGTTGTAGGCAGTGATCAGGTCTCCTCTCAGCCTCCTCTTCTCCAGGCTAAACAAGCCCAGTTCCCTCAGTCGCTCCTCATAAGACATATTCTCCAGACCCTTCACCAGTTTTGTGGCCCTTCTCTGGACACGCTCCAGGACCTCAATGTCTTTCTTGTAAAATGGATCTGACACTAGAACAGACTAGAAAGTGTAAATCCTTGGGCTGTTTCCTGCTCTCAGGCAATTCCAGACACCTAGGTGGCGGTGAAAGCTCCTCTTCACTTACTGAGGTGCAACACTGAACAAACAGGTAATTCAGGTTCTTAGTGTTGCCTCCTCATTCTGCATGACTTCAGCCCTGCCAGCCCTCCTGCCGTATTCCCTGCCCCCTTCTCTGGGCTCCAGAGTTCCCTCTCCATCTGTATTTCAAATTTGCTGTACATCTCTGTGTACATGGGGGTTGGGGTCCAACAGAAAAATCTGGGACACCTTCTCCCTGACCTTCCTTTAACACTTTCATGGTGTCTTAAAATCCTCTTCTTTCCCCCATGCCTTTGTCTAGCCCTGAAAAGGTACATCTGAAAAGTGACAAGTAACCCTCCCTGCCTGGTGTCTCCAACCTGCATTTTCAAAGGCCACGAAGGTCAGAGGCACTTGGCAGCTACAGATCTGGTGCCGGACCCGCCTGCGTAACCAACTTCTCTCGTGTGCCTGAAGGCGGGAGCCCAGGGCTGCGAATCACCCCGAGAGCAGAGCAGAGGCACTTGGGTGCCATCGGCTTAGTTCGTCTCCGCAAGGCAGAACACGAGCTCCTAGGGACAGGGACTCGTTTTCTCTGTGCTGGGCTTTTTGGTGTTTGGGGTTTTTTTGCCACAGGCACATTGCTGTCACTCTGCTCATAACAACAATCATCACTGTCACATAAGTGTAATACGCTTTCAGGAATAATTGTCTGCCCAAAGGACTAATCCCACTTCAATCTTTTAGACTCATTATTTCTAATTGCCTTTGGGCATATCTCAGTCCCCACTTAGAGAAGAAAATGGACCTAATCCCTTGTGCCATTCAATATGAGAAAAAACAAATCCTAGAAATCCCACCCTCTGGAAATCCTCATGGATCCTAACATGAATAAATACCTCCCCACCATGGGCTACCCAGGAGAGATATGAACAATTTCCCACAAAAAGGATACTTGTAGGATGTTGTGTGGCCCATCCAGGACATCCGTAATCCCCAGAATTAAGCTGTGTTTGATAAAGACTTCATTGGCAGCTGCCAGCCTCACGTCTGTATTCATATTTATCTATTCAAGAATGCAGTAGAAATTAACACTCTTCACAGCAAAAATCAGGCCAGCCAATGGCTACAAACTGCAGCTGGACAATCCCAAATTGCACCTCTGAATGGAAAACAGTGAGAAGAGCAGTCTGCAGTCAGGGCAGGGTTGTCACCACCAGTATTGGCCCACCCACCGCTGGTGGACGTAGCCAGAGTCTCACTAAGGATTATTTCTCTTCCAGACAAGGTGTCTGAAGGCGGATTGACTTCCAGTGTCACGCTCTCCCTCCCCGCAGCAGTCCCCGAGTGAAGGGCTCCTTCCCTGAACATCTGTGCAGCTAGACGTTTACCAGGTTTCCCCTGGGAAGAATCATTGCACAGCTGTCGTTAGAGGCTTGCTCCAAAATCCATTAAAATCAGTGCAAAGGCCCCTCTGGATTTGGAATCAAGCCTTTCCAATATTGTTCTTCAGATCACTCCTTCGCAATCTCCACACTCCTGTGATTCCTACGAACAGAAGTTGACAGCCACCAAGCAGCAGATGCTGCAGGCTGCTCGCCTCCCTCGTTAACGTCATCTCCCTTTTCCTTCTACCGCCCAGCCTACCCCGGGTTTGTAACTTCACTGCAAGTTCCATGGGTTAGGAGCTGCCTTTTTGTTCCGGACCTGTTGCGAGGTGACCCAAGTAAACGATGCTGCACTCAGCCGAGAGCGCAAGGACTGCCACCAGACGCAGGGCAGCAGCTGGCTCCGCCAGTGACCCCCGAGGCTTCCCCCCAAAAAAAAGCAATGGTTGCTTTCTCCCCAGCAACAGCAGGTGCTTTCCGCCAGCCTGCCAGGCTCCAACACCTACGTTTCAGGCATTACGACACCTAACGTGGCTGGATAACATCCCTTGCCCAAACCCCATCTCCGAGTCCGCTGTAGAAATACTCCATCCTCCCCGGATAAGTACGTTCTTTGTACGCATCTAGGAGGTGACCTGGGTCCCAGCACTTGGGTGGGAGGGAGTCCTGCTCCCCGCGCTCTGCGTGCCCGCACACAAGCGGCCTCCTCTCACCTTCCTCTGGCGACGGTCGATAACCAGTATCACGAGTACGGTGACCGCCACGGCAGCCAGGGTCACCAGCACGCTGGCCTCCCAGTAGCGCCCGAAGGAACACAGCTGGACTGTGGAGTAAATGTTTGTCCAGAGAGAGATGTAGAAAACCTGTAAAAACCCAAACAGACTGATGATACTCACACAACTGTGACAGTGGGAAAAGTCAAGGGAAGAAGAAAAGTACCAGTTCCTTCTCCTTGGTAATACCTTAGCATAAATTAAGTCACATGAGATTTTCAGAGGGTGAGAAAGGACAGAAGTTCTTTCCAATAATAAATAGGGGAAAGAAAGGACTAGAAGGACTGAGTGAGCCCTAGTTTATTATAAAAAATTACCGTCAAAGACAGAGAGTGAATTATTAATGATGATTCATACCTAGGAAGGATTTCAACTGAGTTCTTCCATTTAGAGGAGAAACGCACTCACTGAGGCATATTGATAATAATTCTAACAGTCCCTGTATTTAGAAAGCTCCTATGTCAAAGCACTCAAGGTGGGGCAGAGACTACTCAATCACAGTAACGCTCGAATGGTGGACACCGACACCGGGCTCAAGGACCATGCTAAGGTCTGACAAACTCAGCCTTTGCATAAAGACAGGCAAAACTGAATCCATTTGGCCTTTGCTTCAGATTTGCATTTGGGCAGGAGATTACCTGGCAGCAAATACGATGTGTACGGCACAGTGTGTCACAGCACCATCTTGCAATTATGTAATGCATTTGTACTAATCAGGCCCCCAAGCCCTCTAAAGAGGGAGTACCAATTCCACAACATTAGTGAAAGGAAGAGAACACATACAGAATGGCCGCCCAAAAAAATTAAATTCAACTAAAAACAAAGGAGTCAGATTTTACCACACCCTCAGCGTCCTGCAAAGCATCAGCCTTACAGTAGACGCTAATGGTTGGGGTGTCTGGAGGAGCTTCTCTCACCACAAGATGACAAACAAGACTACACCATCACCTCACTAACCAAATCTGACTAGTCCATTTGTCTAGATTAACCTCAGGACCTGAATACCTACAGATTTTTAAAATCAAGTTAAAAAAAAATTCTGGCGTAGGCACTACCACCTCAGCATATGCTGGTTATCCAGCCACGGAGAGCCCGTTTCGGTGGGACTGCCAGCAAGGGGCTGGGAAAGGTGCCTTGCTGTCCATCCACAGAAATTCTGTGGACTGAAATTTCCAAAGGAGCCCACGAGGATGTGTGAAAACCAGTGTCACCTCCCCACCCAAACCCCTCTCTCCCCCCAGGCACAAGAACCCCAGGGGGAGGTCTTGATGCATCTCAGCAAGTGCCTGTCTGTGACAAGCCTACAAGAGACCCCTCCATCCTTACCACAGCGATGGCTATCTGGAATGCCCTGGAGTTGTAGAACATGTACCGCCTCACTTCAGGCTTCAGGACAGCATCCTGGATTAGCCTTCTCCACTGATCCGCTGCCACCTGCGCAGGGAGCAAACAGCACACTGGGGACACCCTCCAGTTCCAGGCTCCCAGCCATGACAACAAGCTTGGGCAGTCACCACGGGGCCGGGCCGGCGCTGCAAGCCAAAGCTGCGCCCCCGAGCACTCTCTCCCCGCAGAGCACACCGCCGTCACAGACTGAAACCTTGCGTGCTTGCCTCGTTTGCAGCGAGTAAAATCTCCCTGGAAAGCGCAGGGAAAGTCATAAGAGAAAACCACCTTTTTATGACAAAGCGTAAGGCAGGACAGATTCTCCCAAGGATGCTCCATCCCGTCGGAGTGACTTTCTAGCAGTTCAGTCAACTGAAGTGCTAGAAACTGCTAGAACCTACTCCGAATGGGTTTCTTAGGGAGGTTAAAGCCAAGATGGTGACAGTTGGCCTGCAGTCCGTGGGCAACAAACCGAAGCCGAACTGAAACAAGCCACTCGAGCGGAAAAAAAAAAAAAAAGAAAAGGAAGAAAAGCTGTCTGTCATGTGGGTGCAAATGAAAATGATGCTAATCCAGGCAGCATTCCCTCCTACGGGTCCGCAGGGACCCAGCTTACCTGAACCCCAAGGGACTTCAGTCTCTCTGCACAGAGCTCCGTGTCGAAGGCGGTGGCCGAGCAGTTGTTGTCCATGCTGAGCACCAGGAGCACCTGCCCGTCGAGGGGTTCTGCAAGAGCCCACAGGAGCCATGAGCACGGCTCTGGCACGGGTTTTTCTCCCAGCAGCTGAGCACGTGGCAAAAGGAAGGCAGAGGAACAGACCACCCTGATGTGTTTTGAATGGAGCCAGAATCACCCCTTGGACACTTCTAACAACCTCACAAAGCTCTGGGAGCAGCACAGCAGCCTGATGGCTCCTGTAAGGAAACAGCCTACAGAAAGGGAGGAAACCCCAAACACATTCCAGGAGTGAGCAGAGGTAACATGACGCTCTGATCTTCAGCAGTATAACGTCTTGCCTCACTGATCCCCAACTGAAAGGACAATGGACTCAAGCTGCTCGGTGTCCCTAAGGTTATCTGCCCCTTAGAGACACTCTCCATTGCCAACCCACCCCACCCCCCCCAAGAAAAAGCTCGACCAATCAAACCAAGGTGCTTTCTGATAGTCGCTGGGATATAGGACTGTCCTGGAGCACGAGCTCCATAGGTCCTCCAGCATCCAGGGCTCTCCCAGAGCTCCTGGGCTCTGCTCAAGACCCTCAGCTTCCCAGTCTTAGCTAGGATTAGGATCAGAGATGTCATCTAGAGGCCCAGGTTGCAGTCAGGAGCCCAGAAAGTGTGAGGACAGCCTGCCCTAGATTTGAGGAGCTGGCTGCTCGGAGCTGGGGCAGAGCAGCCTTGGAGCGGCACAGGAGCACTGTCATCTCCAGGCATCCCATCTGGCACTCATCTAGAGTTTACACAAGCCGTCCTACGTCAAGAGGAAGAGCTCAGGTCTAAGGAAGTGGCATGTTCCGATAAGATCCTGTTTCACCGAAGCGTTTCACCCAGCTTTCCTTCCCCTTTGCAGATCTGGGCTCAGCCGGGTGTCCCCTGGGGCTGCTCCTGCTGACACTGCCGGCTCCGTGCTCTCCTGTGCTGGCTGAAACACAGCAGGCACTCACCTTTCCCTCCTCTCCCACTTACATTCTCCATCCCCACCACCTCTCCACTGCTCAGAACAGGAGTTACCAAGCAAAAGGAGTCAGTGATATTACAATAGGGCATGACGGCATCGAGTCAAAAAGGGAAGAGTAGATGAATCTGAAGCCTCCAAGATAACAAGGTCCTCTTTGTTTGCTGAGATTTATCTCCTCCTGACACAGAGCAGTGGAGACCCCCAGTACAAAGCAAGAACAAAACCAAATGGCCTCAGCGGTCCTGTTCTCCACAGCTTTGTCAAGTTGCTTGGCGCAAAGTCTAGCAAGTTGGGTGCCAAGCTCAGATACCCCAGATTCACGGAGGGGCTCAGCTCCCTGAGCTCTGCTGGAGTGACAAAAGCTGCTTTGCCCCCGAGCACTGAGGAGAGGCCATGAACTGGGTGAGCAAGAAGTGTGCCCTGCCGAGCAGCGCACGGAGGTCTGGGGGCAGCCCGCCACCCGTGGCCCTGCCGCCGGTCTCCGCAGCACCTCAGGCAGTTTCTGAAGTAGATCAAGTTGTTACCAGGGAAGGGAGTCACTTGGAAAGCACAGGTTAAGGTTCCCAAATATTCCCTGACCCGTGAAGGCAAAGGGAAAAGGACACCCAGGGTGGGCATGATGCCCATTCATTCCCATTTATCAGACTTTCCTAAAAAGTCAAACTGTGTTCATCCCCTCCCTGAAAATGCTGAAACATCCATAATGCTGTTCGATTTGAAACTGAGGTGCTGCCCATGAGCATCTTTGAAAAATCTGTCTGCTGTTATTTTAAGGGCACTGTACTCTCTGCTGCCTTTCTCCTTATCAAGTTTCTCACTTACCTGTTGCCCACTGCAGGGATCCTTCCTTTAAATTACTCTTAGAATAGAGGATGGAGGAAAGCGACGCATTTTTCTCCCTTTCACCAGTTTGGCTTTCACGAGCCATGCTGAAGGTGCCTCTCCTCAAGGGACTCCGTGTCGTGCCGTCAGAAATTCAGCGCTTGGCGTATCCGCCTTATCTGTCACTGTTAAGAAACCCCGATTCAGCCCGAAGGCAGCCGGCAGCTCTCTTCCTCAGGGACCAGATTGCGAAACCTTCATTCACACTCCCACTGATGACGTCTTCCAGATCCCACTTCCCATGAGGAAGAAGGCAATGTCTAGCCCTGAAAAAAGGAAAAGAAAATCCCAAATCTTGCAGAGACAGCAAAAAGAGGGGAACAGCACAGACCTCGTGGGTGCACTCTGCTCTTTGGACCCTGCTCCCTGCGGATGTTATCCCCAGGTAGGTGTTAGCCAGCCAGGAGCGCAGTATGCGCAGGCTTGCCGTTCGCTGCCGTTCCTTTTTGGGTTTTTAGTAAGCAGAATAGTTATCCTTAAGTATTCCTTACATTATCCAGAAAGCCTTAAATATTCATACTTTGTAAACGATTAGTCAAGGATTTTTCCTCGCACAGCCAACAGGCTATTGCTTTCAGCGGGCGCTTTCAGAAGAAAGCGGAGCCGGTGCAAACGCCCTTCCCTGGAAGCGATGCACCCGCTCACTGCGGCAGCGGATAAACCCCCACCGGACGAAGGAAGTAGGGCAGGTAAGGAAGAAAAATGCATCCACCAAAAGCAGAGGCAAGCAGCTCTTACCCAGCACCAGCAAGACTTTGAGGGCCTCTGCTTTTCCTTCCCCTCCCCTCGCTTCCAACGGAAACGGCAGAAGGCACCGGGGCAGCGCCCCGCAGCAGGCACCGTGCCCGTGGGTTTTCTGACGCAGGGCTCTAACCTACTGCCAGGGCCTGTGGGTGGTTATTAAAGCTAATGCTTGGAAGACTCTGAGGTTTACTTTTCAATTATCTTCCGCTCACGCAGCTCAGCTGCATCCGCGCTGGCTCTCCCAAACTATCCTTTACTCTGTAACCTCCACTCGGTCTCACTTTTGCACCAGGAGCCTGTTGCTGGCTCTGGGTATAAGGGTCCCTCACGGAGCTCATCCGCTCTTCTTCCCAAGAGGATTGCTTTCCTTTTGACTGATGGCTGTCGCTACAATTATCCCCCTGCACAAAGCCGGGACAGTCGCCGGCTGGAGGACTGTCAAAAAGGAACTGAGGCAAGAGAAACAACATGAAAGGCTCTCCTGATCGCAGAAAAAAACCTGCAGAGGGCTGGAAAACTCACACTTAAAGGCATCAAGCCCTTGCACAAGAGGTGTGCAGCGTGTGTGGGGGATGCTCACAGTGCCCGCTCTTCACCAGCGCGGGCAAGGACAGCTTCTGCTGAGCGTGGTGCTCAGCTCGCTGGTGCGATCTCATAGAATGGTTTGGGTTGGAAGGGCCCTTAAAGATCACCCAGTTCCAACCCCCCTGCCATGGGCAGGGACACCTTCCACTAGACCAGGTTGCTCCAAGCCTCATCCAGCCTGGCCTTGAACACTTCCAGGGATGGGGCATCCACAGCTTCTCTGGGCAACATGTTCCAGTGCCTCACCACCCTCTGCGGGAAGGAGAGGGTGGATCTCCTTGGGGAGCGCAGGCAGGCAGGTGTTCCAGAGCGCATCTCCCAGCACCAAAAGGTAGATTCAGACAGTGAATTTTCTCATTCCTTTCCCTCTTTTCCCTTCAATCCCTTCAGGTTAGCATCAAACAAAAAGAAGAGTGCAAAACAAGACAGAAAAGCCCACCAAAAAAAAAAAAAAGAAAAACAAAACAGAAAAGAGTAAAAAAACAGAGGAAACAAAAGGAAAGTCTAATTAAAACCCACCACCCTGCTGTTGCTGCTGTCACATTAAGTTAGAGACAGATCAAGGCTCGCTGGCTCAGCTATCCAGCATTTTGAGTCCCTGGAGGACAATCCCCAAGGGACGACAGCAAAGGGGTGTCAGGGCAGCTCAGCCTTCCCCAGCCCTTTGGGGAAGGAAACAGGAGGGTGACAGCTCTTCCCCAGCCAGGATGAGCTCATCAGCAAAAGCAGCTTTGCTTTTGCCTTTGTGCAGCACAGACCTCGTTTGGCTCCGTTGCGTTTTACTGCAGAACCGCTCGTTTTTGGAGACGGATCCCTCCCCCAGATCTTCCTGTGCTAATGCAAGGGGCGTCCTCTCATCTCCTGCACTCCCCAGGCTCTATCCCTCTACACCTCTCCTTATTCCTTATGCAACACCAGCATCTCTCCGATGACTTTGCTCCCTTCAGACCTTCCCTCCAGCACAGCCCCAAGCCCTGGCTGAAGAGCAGAGAAGCATTCAGCAAGTCCTTCTGCTTCATTTCCAGAGCGGTCAGCAGTCTTACCTGGTCCAGCTCACCTCCTGGTGCCAGGGCGCCGGCTCAGCTCCCTCCGCCTCTTCCTCACCGTCCTTTATCTGCCATCATCCCACCCCTGCGCTGCCCTGGCGCCGAGCTGTCCCACCGCCGAGCGAGGATGTCTCCAGTCCCACAGCCCCAGCCTGCGACGGGGGAGGCCA